GTGAGCGTAGACAAGTTGCTTTTGGTCTGTAAAACAAAGAAAAACTAGCATGAAGGCCTCAAAGGGCCTTTCCAGTCCTGCTGTACTTGGATTCTAATTTGGTTTGCACTAATTAGGAATCGGAGACAGTTTAAATTCAATACCTACAATCCTCAGTGAGTAAACAGTTGGAAATAATCCCTTCCTTTATGACTTCCCGAAGACGTACTCGTGAGCACAAGCAGCCCGCTAAAATCAATCGCGTTTATTTTTCAGACAGAGAAATTGCAGGTTCTTGGAGCTTCTGGGCCCGGCAATTCATCCTTGTATTTTAAAATTTTATGTTTATGTTTATGGGCTGCCATTAGGTAATATGGATCTAGGCTGAAGGTTGGTTTTTTTTCATTAGCTTAACTCGTTTTACTTATTAGCTCACATTTATAGCTGGGTTTAATAAGCACACGGTGCAGAAGTCATAAAGCAGTCTTCTTTCACAATATTTTAAAATCAAGACTCTTCCCTGAGCTGTTCCAGGTTTATTTGCTCGTAACTTCCTTCTCCTGGGGCCTGGAGCCCGCACGGCTCATCCTAGTCCTAGCCCGTTATGTGACCTTGAACTTCAAGAAGGACATCACTGGTTAATAAAACCAAAAGTCCATTTTTGCAAGCAAGGCTGAGACACTCACTGTATCCCAAGGGCTTCTCAGATGGGACTTGCTTGGACGCCGCCTCCCCCGGAGGCAGCTCCCATTTTTTCCACTCCACAGAGGGGAAGCCAAGGCCAGAGAAGAGGCCACACAGTTGGTGGCAGTGGCGAGACTGGAATACAAACCCAGCGTGCCCCCGTTCAGCCATCACCCCCCCCCCCCCATCTAGTCATCGTGCCTTTGCTCTTGCCTGGTTTCTGTGGCCTCCCGAAGCATACCTCTGCTCTATGACGCTCTGCGGCAGCCCTTTGCCTCCCCTGGATAAAGCCCGTCATCCTTAGCCTGGCATCCGTGGCCGTAAGCCATCAGCCCGTGCCTTCTTCCCTTCCTGTCCCGTGTGCCCCTCTGCCACAGCAGACAGCCTTGGCCTCGGGCCTTGGGCACTCGCCTCCCACGTGGCTCTCCTGCCTCTCTGTCCACGGTGCGCCCTCCCATCCCCCATGCTCAGGTCTGCCCCTTCATCTGGGCAGCCTTCCCTGGGCCCCTCTCTTCTCTGAGCTCACAGGTAACGAGCCCTACCCTCATCCTGAGATCTAGGTTGCCCCATGAGGCCCAGGTACGCAGCAGGCACTCAGCTAATGCTCCGGACTGAGGAATGCTGGTGGCCCCCAGGAGTCCAGGGCCCAGGCCTCTTATCTCCTCGGTTGACTTTGGGGAAAGACTATGCCTCAGTTGTCTGCTACCAGCAGTCTTCACTCCTCCTCTCCCTCCCCAGTAACTTCCCTTCCCATGCGTAAAGCTGCTGTCCTCTCTCCTGCCACCCACACTAGCCTGCCCTGGATCCCTTCCCTACCGCTCACTGCCCAGAGGCCCTCCTGGCACTGGCCATTGAAGTCAGCTGTGGGGGTACAGGGCCACATGGAGGAAGGCAGCCCCATGGGCTCTGCGACACCCTGCTGGAGCTTGAAGAGCCTCTGTTTTGTAGACAGGGAAACTGAAGCCCGGTGTGATGGGCCACCTGCAATCCCGGCTCGGGGAGGCAGGAAGATGCAAGTTCTGCCCTACCTGGGCCGTCTAACAGCTCAGCAAGACCCTGTCTCAACAAGGGCTGGAGACGTACTCAGTGTGAAGTGATAGGTTTTACCCTCGTATAAATTGCTGAAGTATTATGGTGGTCATCTAATATGGCTGAAGCCCTTAAAACAAAAGCCTATCTTTTCTAAGACCACCTCTCCCCACCTTTTTTTTTTTCTTTTTTAACTCAGTCCAGGGTGTAATTTTTTTTTACACTTTTTGCCACCTCAGAAAAGACCCCAATCAGCTCCTCACGTACTTCTTGACATCCCCTTCAGACTCCACCCTGGAAGAAGGCTATAAAAGCCTCAGCCTCCCTTTGCTGAACTCCAGAGAATCCCTTACCTTCCCCAGGTTCTCTCCGTGTCATCAAAGATAATAAAGCCCCTTTCCCTTTTTTCTTCTGCCTGTTTCTCTGCTGTGCTGGCGCCTGAAAAAGCCTATCATGAAGGACCTGGGTTCAGTCTCCAGTACACCACATGCACATGCAGTGGGGAAACCGAGGCAGGGGGCAGAACTATGAAAGGCACTGGTTGGGTTCTCTGCCAAGGCTCCCTGGTTTATCCAGCGGTCAGCGTGGCAGCTGAGGTCACACAGGCATGCAGATCTGAGTTCTGCCCTGACCCCACGGCTGGTTCCAAGCAGGATGGGAAGGCAGGTGTCTGCTCACTGAGCTCACCCTTGCTCCAGGGTCCTCTGCTGGGCAGGTGTCCTGAGGGACTGCAGAGAAGGGGAACTGAGAACCAGGCCAGGCCCAGCCACTGTGCCTGCCGCTGTCAGCCTGGGCCTCGGGCAGAGGTGACCCCGGGGCCAGGCCACAGTTTTGGGCTTCCTGGGCTGCTGTGGGATGACCCAGAACTGTGACTGCCACGGGCAGCTCCACCTCCCCCTCTGCCACGTCCTCCCCACCTGCCATTTCTGGGTCCAGCAACACATTTGGGGGCTTAGGACCGAACACATACACACACCTCTGTAGCTTATTTTGTTTTAAACAGTGTCAAGCCAGGGTTGGGGAGATAGCTCAGCAGCATAAACACCTGCCTGGCAAGTGCAAGGTCCCGAGTTCAATTCCTGGTCAGTCTGATGCAGCACATGCCTGCCATCCCAGGTCTGAAAAGCTGAAGCAGGAAGGTTCAAAGCTCAGCCTGGGCAACTTACCAACTTGGACTTTTGCTTTTTAATGTTTTAAAATCATTTATTTATGTGGTATAGAGTCTTGCTGTGCAGCTCAGACTCATAAGTAAGCCTCCTGTCTTAGCCTCCCCAGCACTAGGATTACAGGCATGTGCCACCACACCCGGTTTGGGGAGCTGGCATAGCATGTGGTACCAGGGATTGAACCTGCGTCCTTGTGCTTGCCAGGCAGGCACTTAGATCACTGAGCTATCTCCCCAGTCCCAGACTCTTAATCAGTTAATCAGTAAAGAACATCATAGGTTCAATCATCCACGTGAAAGAAAGGGGAGAGGGAGGGAGGGAGGAAGGTTTCAGGCAGCATTCCACACTGATGAGGAGTTTATCCATTATATCTAATACGGGTTCAGATCCAGGGCCTCAGCCACCTGCCCTGCACCTGTGTGCAGCAGCCTGCTCTCCCTCCACACCCCTCCCCATCCCTCCATGAAGCCTCCCAGCTGCTGCTGTCAGGAAGGCTGGAGTGCAGGATCCTTCTTGGGTCTCTCAGGCTTCACAGTGGACCCCAAGAGGCTGCAGAGGCTGAGCTGGCCCAGTGCCCCCTGTCACAGATGAGGAAACTGGGGGTGTAGAGAGCTGGAGAGACGCTGGGGAAGAGGCCCGGAGAGGCCGGCACAGCTGCACATCTTGCTGCTAAAACGATCTCCTCTCCCTTGTCACCTCTTTCCGAAAGCTGTTTATCTCTTTTCTATCCCCTCGGGAAAAGCTGGGGTGCCCCCACACACCCCAGTTATTGCACACTAGCTGCCTTCTGGCTGATGTGACATTAGCTCCACAGCTTGCAAAGCAGGGATGACATTTGCATCTCTCTGGCCGGCATGGCCTTTGGCGGCTGGGGTGGGGGTCCTGCAGGCAGGTTGGGCCCTAGATCGTCTGTGAGAGGGCAGAGGTGAGCAGGGGAGATGAGGAGCTGCAGCCGCTGAAATTCTGTGTCTGGAGGCTTTTTTGCAGGGACGGGGCAACTCCCAATCCAGGGCTCGCTTCAGCTACTGCAAGCACGCATGCGCGCGTGGGCACATGCGCACATAGATGCGCACGCACACGCACAATCTGCCTGTCCTCTTCCTAACATTTTGGAGCAATCACTAAGTGCCAAAAACTTCTGTGGGCTTCGTGCCTTCGTGCCACTTTATCTCCTGGCAGACTTTGGGGCAAAGATGCTTAGTCTTGTTGTACAGAAGAGACTGGCACCCTAGAAGACCTCTGGCTTATCCGGGGCAGCGCTTCTGGGAAGAGACGAGCCTTGCTTGTGCCCGGGGTTCCCCCGTCTAAGTCCACACTCCCAGCCACCCAACACGCCACACATGCACGCACGCATGCACACACGTATGTACGCATGAACACACCAATTGTCCAGGCTCAACTGCAGCCAGAGAGCATCTCTGCTCGGGACCCGGAATGGGTACAGGGGATGTGCACTCCTCACAGAACACAGCAGCCAGCATCTGCTGTGTGCTCAGACCGCCCCAGGGGCTGTCTGTCTGGCTGTGAAGAAGGCATGCCCAGACCGACAGGTCTGGAGAGACCGGAAGTACCGGCTGTGCTCTGCCACCAACTTGCTACATGACTTGGGCCAAGTCACTACCCCTCTCTGGGTATCAGTGCCCTCTTTGGTAAAAAGAGCCAGGCATGGGGTACACACCTATAATGCCAGTACTCTGGGAGAGTTGTAAAGACTGAAAAGCAAAATGACTGGTCCCTCTGGCTGGAGCAGCCCAGGAACGCACTGCCACAGGCAGGGATGGACCTTTCCTCCAGTAGATCGAGGATGCGGCATTTCCTCCCATCCACTCGGACATGGGACGTCACATTTTCCATCAAAGCCCATCATGAGGCATCTACCGAGCTCCTCGCCCACTTCCAAAGGGCATTTTGCCGGCGGCAGCATGTGGCATGCACCCAGCTGGGAGGCCTGGTGCTCCAGGGCTGGCTCCACCCAGCCTGGGGTTGGGTCCCCGGCCTGCGCAGACCCCTGGCTGCTGCATCATTCGTCTTCCAGCAGGGCATGGAGAGAGCACTGCACACAGGAAGGGGAGGCCAGCAGACTGGGTCGATGGGGTCCCTCTCCTGGGCACTCACAGCCCTTCTTTCTGTGCCTTCCGACAGGTGGGCGCCCCTTGGACCTCCTGTGCCTGCAGGAGCCAGTGTTTCAGACCCTTTGGTCGCTGCAGCGTGAGCCTCTTGAACTCAGTCTAGAAGCACAGCCATACTCTTGGGTGGACTTTCCAACACCACTGCCCAGGTAAGAGGATCTGAGCTTGCTCGGTACAGGGGTTTCTGCTAATTGTGTTGAGACCACAGTCATTGCTAAGCATAACTATCCACACGGCATCCCTCCCTTCCAAATCACAACCCTGCTTGAAAGGGAAAGACCCAATGGCCAAGGCTTTAAAGTCTGACATACCAGGATGCAAATGCCAGAATCGCCAATTGCTGGCTGTGTGGGCAGGCAAGGGTTGTCAGCCTCCGCGTGTCTCAGCTTCTTCACTGGTCCAATGATGGGCAGGAGCACCTACTGCTCGGGTTGTGGGAAAGATCAGGCGCAGTAATACATGGAAGGAGCCTAGACCAGGATGGCGTGGTGAGTCAGTAGCCCAGTAAGCAGCAGCTGTTGCCAGTAGCATTCCTGCACTTGGGATGGCCCCTCGTGTGTTGCTTTTTGCATTGATGGCTGGTTTCCCCTGCATGCACCTGTGGATGCCACAAGGGCAAGAATCTTCTTTGTCTCAGTTGGATCCCTCCATCCCAGCATAGGAATCTGGCCCGTTAGTCACAATGGATGAGTGAACGAATGGGGGAAGGTGCTTTACCTACATTATGAGGAACCCTTAGAGCAATCCTGTGGGCACCTGCATTTGTCCCTGTAAGAGGTTGCTCGCGTGTGGCACAACCCCAACAATGGCTCCTTCAGCAACAGAGATACAGCTTCTTCTAAGAGAAATTCTCAGCCAAGGCAGTTCTTTTATAACAAATACCAGGGCCCAGGGCCTTCTGTCTTGGGGCTCAGCCATCCCTGGTGTACATGATCCCTTGGCCCTCTTGGCATGTCTGTTCTGGCCCCCTCAGGAGATAGACGCTGCTCCCACCTAGGAGGACATACAGCTTTCATCCGTTCATGTCATTAGAAGGTAGCCATGAGGGGCCCCTAGCCACAAGGGAGGCTAGGAACTGTAGTCTTCTGCTGGTGGCCACCTGCCCAGTTATAGTTGTTGCCTCAGAAGATGGGGAAGGTGGCCTCTGAAAAAAATCAGGAAGCCCATCCCTGATTTTTTTCAGTTCTTCCTGCCTTCTCTCTGGCACAATCTATTTACTGCCATTATAGTTTCGCCTTTCCCAGAATGTCACATGACTGGAGTTGTGCAGTGGGCAGCCACAAAAACAGGCTTCTTCACTGAGCAGGAGCATTACAGGGGCCTCCAAGTCTTCCTGTGGCTTCACTGCTGAGTAATAGTCTATCAGATGTGCCACACTTGATTGATTATCTCACAGAAGGGCATCTTAGTTGTTTCCAGGTTTGCTAGTGATGACTAGAGCTGCCGCGCAGGTTCCTGTGCAGGTTCTCATGTGGACTTAAGTTTTCCACTTCCAAAGTACCTTCCACAGCACCCTGCATGTCCTGGCCTGAACATTCCTGTTGCTTGTCATCCTCCTCAGCAAGTGGTGCTGTCACTTTTGTGGACTTCGGTCCTTCTATGAAGGAGTGTGATACAGTCCCCATCGTAGCGTGGATATGGTGGGTGGGAGACTCAGGAACTCTTTGTGACCCTCTTCCTGGTTGGCACTGCCATACCCCACAGCTCCTCTGTGGCAGGTGTCCCTGTGACTATGGCCCCATCCCTGGGTGGCCCTTCCTGCAGCAGGCTCAGGAGTGGCTGGATTGCAGGACCCTAGCACACTGTCTGGGGTCTGTGTCCCTGTGTAGGGAATCTCACTGGTCTGCAAATTACCCCCTGAAAGTCCAGAAGGCAGTGAAGCCTGGGGGTCTCATGGGTCCCAGTAGGAAAGGTGGAACTGCTGCCCCCAGTAGCAAGAATCAGGGATGATCAGAGGCCTGGGAAAGGCCTGGCCAGGGTCGGGCAGAAGTCAGATGCTGCATGGCCTGGGAACCCACACTCAGCCCAAACCACGCTAAGCAAGACAGGCAAAGGGTTCACTTTCTATGGGTGTCTGATAAATTGGCACTTGGGGGCTTATTTACTGGCGTCAAGGCAGAGCTCAAGAAATCGCCCTAAGAAGCATGCCTTACCACACCTGTCCCCTGCTTGCCTCCCTGAGGGCGTCAGTCCCTGGCAGGTGTTCCCACTTGGTACCCAGCAGCAGTTAGACATGCTCATCTCAAATGCAGCTTCAAGCAGAAGGTGAGCTGCTTTTCCTAGAAAGTCTGAATTCCTAGATTGAAGTGCATTGGCTAGGGTGTGGATCACGTGACTTTCTGACCAATCCCTATAAGCTAGAGGATAGAATGTGCTGATCGGTTGGGCAAAGTCAGGCTGGAAGGGTGTTCTATGGCAGGGAAGTCAATGGGGAGTATATGCCAAGGGAGGTTCCCTGACAGGGCAACCCAGGTGCTACTTTCAGAAGAGGTCCTGGGCAAGCCAAGTGTCGGGCATTGCCTGTAGGTACCATGGTGGGAGGGGGGCTTCCTGTGGTTGATGGTGCCCTGGTTGACCTCCTTATAAGGCACCTGATTTTTAGTGGCTCTGCCTTTCACACATGCACACTACATGTTGACAGTGTTGTAGGTGTCATCTGGCTTCTTGGGCAGCTGCACTCCCTAGTACTACCCCACTGTTGGGCACCCCAGTATCAAGTGACCCTGAATAACCTCTTTCTGGGAAGGTTCCCCCAGCACAACTCCTGGGAGGATTTTCCAACCCCCTCAGGGTCTTTCTGCCCTGCATGAGGCCCCTGAGGGAGGAGGAGGGGGAATGGTCCTTTCTGTGCATGCAGTACAGCCTTGCAGCCCCCGCCTCTGCCACACCGCCATGGTACACATTGGAGGTGCGGCTCAGCATTCATCTGAGGAGAGATCACTGTGCTGGGGAAACCGCAGCTTAGGATGCTGCTCCCTCCTGGCAGCTGTGGCCGTGCACTTTTGAAGGTCTGTCCCTGGCTTGGTTTTGGTCAACCACAAGCCTTTGGCCTGCTACCAACTCTCTCCCTCCCTCTCTCTTCCTGTCCCGCCACAGAGTCCACAGTTCAGCGTCAGCTCAACCCACCTGCGCTGTGCGCTCAGCCTCTGCTCACTGAGTTCATTCATGGCTGCAGCTATGGCTCCTGTGTCCTCAGCGTGGTGTTGGGCTGCATTTTACTTTACCCTGTTTTATTCTATTTTGTGATACTGGGGGTTGAACCCAGGGCCTTTGCACTGAGCTATGTCCCCAGCCCTTTTATATTTTGAGACAGTCTTGCAATCCTCCTGCCCCAGCATCCCAGAGTGCTGCAGTTACAGGTGTGAAGCTTTACTTATGCCCACTGCTGCAGAAACAGTAGAATGGACCCTCCCCCCTCACTCCCTACCTGCATCAGTGAGGATGGAGTGAGCGGAAGCCCTGCTGAAGGGGTGACCACCCATGCAGGTCTGCATGCAGACATCTGGGCCAGAAGCAGTGAACAAATAGAGTTAATAAGTACCCCTTCCAGGCCTTCACCCCTCATTCTACTCCTCTCAGCAGGGGCCAGGCTTTTGAGCCCTTCCAGAGACTCCTGGCCTTCTATAGGGAGCTGTTCATGCAATGTGAAGAGTGAGTGGAAGGTGTCAGAGGCCAATGGCAGTGCGCCCTCCCCTGGGTGGGAACAGGGCCCTGAACTTGTGCACTGGGCTGGGCACACAGGCCAGGGATGCACCTGTCAGAGTGCAGAGTGAGAGTGGGTGTAGGTGGACCCTGGGCTGGGCACCCAGGCTATGCGGGCATGAGATGCCAGGCAGGCCTCTTTCTGGGCATCTGTGTGGCCTGTGCACCTGCTCCTCCTGGCCCTCTTCTGTCCTCCATGGGATGGCACTGGCAGGTGTGTTAGGAGCAATGGTAACCGGCCCTGCGACCCCCCCATGGTGTCCTTGCTCCACTCAGCAGCGTCACTTGTGCATGCCTCAGGGCTGGCCTGGCCTGGATGAGGTAAGGCTGGGGTGCTTGCTCCTCTCTGGTCTCTGGCCTGCCCCTTCCAGCTCCAGCCGTAGCCTTCCCAGCCCAGCCTAGCTTCCGACTCCAGCTCTCCTCGCAGTGCGGCCCCAGAGCCTCCTCTGCTTTCTCATCTACACATGGGGAATGAGAGCAGCGCAGGCTCACAGGACGGTGGGACCATGCAAGACCACCAGTGCTCGGCAGGGTGTGGCTGGAGGGCCAGCAGGTGGGGTGAGCGACGCTGCATGCACCTTTTAAAATTATTTACATTTATCTATTGGATACAGGGTCTCACTATGCACACACACACCACGGGTCTCATAAAGACATCAGTCCTGCCCTAGCATGGTGGTGTGTGCTTGTAATCCCGGTGCTCTGAGAAGCTCAGGCAGGAGGGTCACAGGCATGAGCCCAGCCTGAGCAATGCAAGTGAGTTGATGAGACCCTGTCTCGAAGTCAAAAATAAGAAAGCAGTGCAGTGTAGCCCAGTGCAAGGCCCGGGATTTGATACCCAGGACCATAGAAGACACAGTCTCTGTCAGCTTAGGACCCATCTGTCTGACCTCCCTAAGAGTCCTCCTCCAAACCCATCCCCCCTGGTGGCTGAGGCTTCCACACCTGAGTGTGGAGGGAGACACAGGTCAGCCACACGATGAGCCAGCCCCTGTGAAGGCCCTGTCATCGCGAGGGCCCTGTGTTGCTGCAGGTGCATCCGGGCAGGCCACCCTGGCTGTCGCAGACACTTGCTGGATTGGTTAACCTCATTCGGGAGACCAGGAGCCTAGACTCTGTAAACTCACAAATGCTTCTATTATTTCACAATAGCCGGTATTATATTGTGCTCATCATATCTCGGCTCAGCTTTGACGCTTACATAACTAATTTAGTAATCCTTCTGCCACCCTGACCAGTCAGACGCTCTCAGTGGTCTGCTTGTGCAGGTGAGGAAACACCCACACAGAGGGCAGTTAATTTGAAGGAGGTCACACAGCTATCAGGTGCCTAATGAGTTAATACCCTCCAGACTGGCCCCCAACCCCTTGCAGAACTGGATCTGAGTCCAAGCCCAGCATTTGTGGCTCTGGACCTAAGAAGTGACCTGACTTCTTGGGGACCTGAG